TAAACCCATTCAATCTTTCTCTTACATATTTACTATTTAAATTTAGTTTAATTTTAGAATAAAAAATGCAAAATAATTATTTGAATAAAAATAAATAATTATTTAGTTTTTAGAATGAAACATGCAAAATAATTATTTCATCTATTAAGTCCATAAATTCATCCAAATTTTCTATTTTTAATCTTAATTTAATTTTTAGAACAAAACATTCAAAATAATTATTTAGTTTTTAGAATGAAACATGAAAAATAATTATTAATTTTGGAATAAAAATAATAGATGTCCATGAAGCCATTCAAAAAAATATTTGTTTAACTTTTAGAATAAAATATGCAAAATAATTATTTGAACAAAAATAAATAATTATTTAAAAAATACAGAAAAATGTTTGATTAAATAATTACAAATTTTATATAATTATTTGATTCAATAATTGTTAGCTGTTTAATTGGATTTTATAACACTTCGCAAAATGTTTAAAACAATTAAAAAGAATTTTTAGTAATGTTTAAAAATACAGAATAAAAGGCATTGATATATTTCATATGATAATCTATAATTTGAATGTGAATATAATTGTGGCCTAAAAAATATGAAAACAATTATTATTTGTTTAATTGGATGTGTGTATTAGGTAATAATTGAAAAAAAAATATTTCTTTTTTTTAATTCTTAATAACATTTGAAAATTAGTTTACTAACACATTAACTTTTAAAATTGGATAATTTATATAATAATTGAATTTTTTTATGTGATTCATGTAAAGTTGCAAACATCATATTGGGATTCAAATATTGAATTTGTAAATTATAATAGATTTAAAATTTGAAGTCGGAACTTAGAAGATTGGAACTAAATCAAGTACTTTATTAGATAGTATGTTTTTGTTCCTATTCATTGATTATAATATGTTTTTTCATAAAACCCATTAAAATATGTGATTTTTATATATAAATAGTTGATTTAAGTCTTACATTTAGTGATATTGATGGTTATTTATGATTTATTGGAGTATTTATAGCATTTCCATGTGTTTTCCATGCGTATCTTAATTTTTTATCCGTATCCATGCATATCCAAGGCGTCTCTTAAATTTTCCTTTCCGACACACATAGCATATATGATACTTTGAACCTTGACTATTACTATTAAAAAATTCCACATTTTAAGATGGGTAAAATTGAAAATAAAAATAAGAGAGTTTTGACAATTACTACTCTCTTTTTTTATTGGTATGGTAGATAGATACATCTATACTACCTATAAAAGAGTGAATGCCCCTTCTTTATGGAATTTTTTCTGGACGTTTTCTATAAGCATACAACAGGTATAAAGAGGGCATATATGTCTTTTACTCTCACTTCAAAAACAGTCCACTTATAATCATTTAGGAACTACCCACTTATAACTGTTCAAAAACTGTTAGGGTGTTGGAACCAGATATGTTAAGTTGAATAGTTTTGTCTTAGAGAATTCTATCCATGAACTTTCAAAATACCTTAATTAATTTTTGGATAAATGAATTATAAATACTTTTGTCTTAGAGATACTGCGACGTGCAAATGCACGTATACGTTTACTAGTAGACATGAAGTAAAGGAAATTGTGTAAATCTCCTACTTCATCTTTAAGGATCTTACATGATTTGGATGGCCCTTGGCTGAGATTCAAAATTGCGCAACGTATAGAGGCCACTAGACCATGCCCATTTGTTTGCTATTGTTGTATGCACTACTATTTTTAAGTAAATTTTCTCTTTTCTTAGTAGATATTTATTAAAAAATGATTGATTAATTATTAAAATGTATATACTAATAAATATTAGGGTAAAATACAAAAACCTCCCCAAAACTTTCTAACAATCATAAAAACCTTCCCTATAGTTTCACTTTAGCAAAAACCTCCCCACTATTTTTAGAAAATTTGACAAAAACCTCCCTTCCGTCAATGATCATGACGGAAAATGTTAAACCGATGATCAAATATTTCCAAATACCTAACTATAATTTATAAATTATAATTTCCAAATACCTAACTTTAATTATAATTTCCAAATTATAATTTCCAAATACCTAACTTTAATTTATAATTTATAAATTATAATTTCCAAATACCTAACTTTAATTATAATTTCATTAAAAGTCCTATACTTAACTATAATTTATAAATTATAATTCTTAAATTTTAATGTTTAATGGGATGGGAAAAAGCCAACTCTCTTATCCAACCATATAATATGCAATAACACAACTTCCAAGTGAAAATATACTTAATAATTATTTATTATTTATTTTCAAAAAATATAAAAAATTAAATAAACATTATATAATATATTCAAAAAATAGTTATTAAAGAAGAAATTTCAATTACCTTGTGCAATATATGATAGATCATCTATATAATTATAATATATTCAATCATTGTGATCAAATGATAAAATATAATTAATTATTTATTTATTTTTTAATTCAATAAATATAAAAATAAAAAATATATATTAAAGAAGAAATTTCAATTGGTTTGATCAAACGATAAAATATAATTAATTATTATTTATTTTTATTCTAAAAATATAAAAAATCAAAAAAAAATATTAAAGAAGAAATTTCAATTGCTCTATGGTTATAATAGATAAATCTATAGATCTAAAACATATTTAGTCTTTATACGTAGAGAAAAAATTATATTTTCAAATTTTTTGTTAATTTATATTTTCCCCAAATATCTCATGAAATTTCCATAAATCTACAGATAACACAAAAAAAAATGTGATTTTGGATGTAAGAAATGTAGATTAACATAAATTTATACATTCAAGAAAAAAATCATAAGATATTATCAAAATCAGAAAAAAATTTACCAATTTTTTACCATATTTTTTCAAAATTTGAAAAATCTTCAAAAAAATAATGATTCACACTTGTTTCTTGCAAAATTTTGCAAATCTAGCACTCTAGGAATGAGGTTTGGAGTTTTAGAGTCATTTGGGGGGTGAAAGAATCTTACATTTCCCCTGTATTTTTTTTTGGTTTTTGGTTGTATCTTTTTTTTCGATACGCTACCGATACTCCCCGATACACCTCCGATACGCCCCGATATGCATGAAAAAAGATGATACACACGATTTCCATGTGTATCCCGTATCTATTTTTAAAAGATACGATATGATACGTCGGGCGTATCGTATCGAAATTTTAAACCTTGGAAGCAGGAGGCTGCCAAGGAGGCAGTCAACCGGTATAAGGTGTTGGAGGAGATGCAGCTACACATGGACGAGTACGCCGAGGCTGCTTCCGCAACCGGATTCAACGTATTTCGGAGAAGGATCCTTCGTCGCCACTCGGAGCTGGCCGAGGAATTGCAGGGCTGGGGAGCTTGTGATCCAGATTGAGCGGTTGTTTCTTTTTTTTTGTATTGGCATTGGCTCGGTATGCCGAGCCTTAAACGATGTAATGGACTTTCTTAAGTTAAATATCAGCTCTTCTTTGTGTTGACTATATACATGCATCTTGTTGTTATTGCTATTTTCACATGTGCGTTTTTCGTTTTCCAGCCGAGCTGAGCTATGCCTCGGTGTCTCATTACTTGTTCGATTTCCTTTCACTGGCCGGGGCATGGCCGACCGGGCTATTCAATGGTTTAAGCCGGACTGTGCCTCGGGCGTCCTCTTCATCCTTGTGCAACTTTCTTTTGTTGGTTGGGGCATGGCCGACTGGGCTATGCCTCGACTTCCCCTAGTCTTTTGCTGATCGAGGTGTAGTTGTCCGAGATCTTTCGGTTCTCGAGCTCTCAGCCATGGGATGCTCCGTTTCTGGTCTCGGGAGCCTCTGGGGCCCTTCTAGGGCAAGCCGTTTGCCAGCTAGCTCAGCCGTTAACTGGTGGTTGTGCGGAGTTCCACGACCACTCTCAGGCCTTGGTGGACAGGGGTGTTCTTTCTCCACGTTTAGGCTCTGCCATTGTCAGCTGAGTCGTGTAGCTTAGTCGGTGATGCGCTACCGATCCGAGCATTATAGGCTCGACCGTTCTGGGGTCGGCAAAGTCGACTTGGTCGGTAGTGCGACTTGGCCTGTGCATGTGGAGTGTGTGCGGTGGGCGTGTATGTACGTGTAGGTTGGAGATGTAGCTTAAGAAAAGAGATTTTTATTGCTTGTAGATTTACTGATAATACATCCTGAGATTTCCCGAGTTCCAGCTCCTCGGTATTGGTCAGCCTTCGAGGTCTTCAAGTCTATAAGTACTCGGTCTGAGGACCCTGGTGACTCTGTATGGCCCATCCCAATTTGGTCTGAGCTTGCCTTCTCTTGGCGCGGGGACTATGACTCTACGTAGGACGAAGTCGCCTGTCTTGAATTCGCGTCTTCTGACCTTGGAGTCATAGTGCTTTGCCATCCTTTGCTGTTGTGCGACCATTCTTACATGTGCTCGGTCCTGGGCTTCCTCTACTAGGTCCAACTCCGCGCGTAGATCTTCGTCATTCTACCCCTCGTTGAATAGCTCGGTCCAGAGAGTTGGGGAACCTATCTCAACGGGGACCATGGCCTCGACTCCGTAGGTCAGGCTAAAAGGGGTCTCTCTGGTGGTAGTCCGTGGTGTCATCCTGTATGCCTAGAGAATGCTCGACAGCTCCTCAACCCACCTTCCCTTGGCTTGATCTAAGCACGTTTTCAGGCTGTGTAGCAGGATGCAGTTGGTTACCTCGGTCTGCCCGTTACTCTGGGGTCAATGCAATGCAGTAGTCTGATGATCGATTCTTAGGTCGACACAGAGGACTTCGAACTTCTTGTTGGTAATCTGTGTCCCATTGTCCGTAATAAGCACGCGAGGGATGTCGAAATGGCAGGCAATACCCTGCCAGAAGAAGTTCTAGGCATTATGGGCGGTGATGCGTGCCAAAGCTTTGACTTCTACCCACTTCGTAAAGTAGTCCACTGCTACGAGGAAGGGGTGGTGAGCTCAGGTACTACTTCAGCTCCTGGAAAGACTGCTTACATTCTTCGGTCTAGTGGATATCTTTTGGCCTTTTAAGTGCTTTGAAGAAAGGGAGGCACCGGTCCGCAGATTTAGACATAAATCTACTGAGGGCAGCTATTCTCCCAGTGAGTCGCTGCACCTCTTTATGGGTCCGGGGGGATGGCATGTCAAGGATGGCCTTTATCTTCTCTGGATTTGCTTCGATCCCTCTTTGTATTACCATGAACCCTAGGAACTTGCCGGAGCCGACCCCGAAAGCGCACTTGGTTGGGTTTAGCTTCGTCTTGTATTTTCTGAGAGTGTTAAAGACTTCGTGAAGGTCGGCCTGGTGATGCTCGGCCTTCTTGCTCTTCACGAGCATATCATCGACATACGCCTCTACATTCCGGCTGAACTGTTCTTCGAATACCTCATTCACTAGACGTTGATAAGTGGCACCAGCATTTTTGAGGCCGAAGGGCATTACCTTATTGCAGTATAGGTCATGGTCGATGATAAAAGTTGTCCGCTCCTGGTCATTCGGGTGCATCCGGATTTGGTTGTAACCTGAGAAGGCATAAATGAAGCTCAGTAGCTCATGTCCTGCCATTGCGTCGACGAGTTGGTCGATCCTCAGTAGGGGGAAGCTGTCTTTGGGGCAGGCCTTATTTAAGTCGGTGAAGTCGATGCAGATTCTCCACTTTTCGTTGGCCTTCTTCACCATTACTACTTTGGCCAGCCAATCGGGGTACTTGACTTCCTGAATGAAGCCGGCGTTGAGCAGTTTTTGTACTTCATCGGCGATCACTTGCCACCGCTATGTGGCGAAGTTCCTCTTTTTCTACTTCACAGGTCAGTAACGGGGGTTGACGTTCAGCCGATGTGTGATAACTTCAGGGTCGATACCGGGCATGTTCGTTGTTGACCAAGCGAATACGTCGGCATTGTTCCTCAGTAGTTGTACAAGTTCTTCTTAGAAGTGGTCGTCTAGTAGGGGGCCAATTTGGACTGTCTTCTCAAGATCTTGTTCAGAGAGGGGGACTTGGATGAAGTCTTCCACGAGTTGGACGCGCTGTGCCTTTACCTTGTCGTGTAGATCATAAGCCTCCGCCATTAGTGTCTCAGCAGTTGGACGTGGCACTCGACAGGAGAGCTGATAGCAATGTCACGCTACTCTCTGGTCTCCGCGTGCCACACCTATGTCGTACTTAGTTGGAAATTTTATGTCGAGGAGGTATGTCGAGACTGTGGCCTGCAGGACGTTCAGGGTCGGCCTGCCGAGGATTAAGTTGTAAGAGGAAGGGCAACGCACCACGATGAAGTCTACCATGGTCGTTGCAGTGACGTCGCCATCCCCGATCAAGAGGGGAAGAGTTATCCTCCCAGTAGGCAAGAGGGACTCTCCCGAGAATCCCATCAAGGGCGTGCTAACCACGTGAGCCGCTCTCTGTCAATGCCGAGCTTTTTGAATGCATCTTCAAACAGTACATCGGCAGAGCTACCTGTGTCAACTTGGATTCGCCGCAACTCAAAGTTTTCCACCTCGGCCGTGATGACGAAAGTGTCGTCATGCGGTGTCTAGACCCCTCGGAGGTCGTCATCGGTGAAGGTGATAGATGTGTTACGTTTCTTCCTGTGACCTCGGTCGTCGATCTCGCACAGCCGAGCATATCTCTTCCGACTCGAGCTGCTCTCCCCTCCGGCAACGATTCCCCCTGATATGACGTGGATAACGCCGGCTCGGGGACCTCGGGGTGGCGGTTGCTGATCTTCATCCATTCTCCGCTCTTCTTTGGCTGGCTTCTCACTTTTGTCAATGAAGTCGCTGAGGTAACCACGCCTGATCAGATCTTCAATATGGTTGCGCAAGTCGAAATAGTTCTCTGTATCATGGTCGTAGTCTTTGTGGAACTCACAGTATTTGTCTTTATTCCTTTTGTTACTTTGCATCTTCATCTTCTCGGGCCACCTGATGTTGTTGCGGTTACGGATTTACATCATAATTTCAGATCGTGGAATATTGAGCGGCGTGAAATTCTAGTAGGTCTGTGGAGGGGTTCGAGGTCTATGGTCTAGTCGACGATCCTTTCTCTTGTGATATCTGCCTGACCTCTCGGACTTCCACTCGTTGGTATCTCTCATCTTCTTGTCGAGCTTATCATCTTTGTCTCTGAGTTGTGCCTGAGCCTCCTTGGCGTTGATATACTTCTACGCGTGGCTCATTAGCATAGCTAGCGTCTAAGGAGGATTTTTGGAGATGGAGAAATTGAATGGCGAAGGGTGGAGCCCGTGCTGTATGGCGTAACTGCGACTGATTGGTTCAAGTCTCTGACCTAGAGTGCTTCCTTATTTGGTCGAAGTTTTACAGTGCTTCTGGCAAGCGGTGAACTACGCCAGAAACTAGGTCTCCAGTTGATCCCATGATGTTATGGACCATGGTGGTAGAGAGGAGTACCATGCCAGAGTTGGGCCTTGCAGGGTGGCTACAAGGGCTTTGCACATCAGTCCTTCCGACGTGACATGCAACATCATTTGAGCTTTGAGTGCCGCGACATGGTCGAAAGGGTTAGAGTTCCTGTCGTACTTGTCAAATTTGGGGGCTCGCTATCCAGTAGGGGGTATTTCATCCATGATGTCCTAGACGAAGGGCAGCTCCTTGGTGATATGCACGGTAGCCCGCGTGGGTTGGTCCACGGTGGGCGTCATGCTCTTATGAGTCTAAGTGCGTTCCAGTTCTTCTAAACGTTGTCGGAGCTCTTTGATCTCAGCATCTCTGTTGTCCGGGGCCGCAGTGTGTGTGGCCTTCTCCTTCTTAGGTTACGTAGGGTGATCCTTTGCTGAGCTTGACTCGGCAACGGAGACCATAAATGGCGGCGTCCTCTTGCCGAGCCTTTATCTGGCTGGGATCCGAGCGGACTAGCATGTCTGGCTGCGGTGATCCTGCTCACGGGAGCAGGTAGTAAAGGCAGGCCTTCGGGTCATGTCCCGCCTCTCTCGCTCGGACCGTGCTCCCCTTGCATCAAATCGACGCAATTTGGGGTCCTTGGTCCAAGGATCATCCTTCGTGTGCATCGGGGAGTGAGGAGGGACGACCCTGTTGGGCGGCGCAGCAGACCCTAGCGCCTGCATGAACTCGAAAATCTTGCTGACCTTCTCTTGCACACCTCGAAACTATGCTGGGTCCACGACTGCTGAGGGTTGTGGAGCTTCCTGATGCGAGGAGCCATGATGTCGGTTTTCCCGAGATGGGGAACGACCTGTTGATCGTTCGGACTGGTTTTTAGGCATCTTGATTGGTTTTTGGGCCGTGTGGCAAAAGATTTTTCAGGAAGGCTTTTTGTGCGTTCCCACAGACGGCGCCAATCTGATGCCGCTCAATCCGAGGTGGTGCACGAACTGATGAGAGCAACCAGATAATCCTTGCTAACTGGACGGTGCCATGCTATATATCCTGCGATCTAGAGAAGTTAGAGGCCCGAGGAGCTGTCCCCGGGTAGACACTCCGATGCTCAAGTTAGTGAGAGAGCGGTGAATGGTTAGGCGGAGCAATGAGGGTGCTGGTCCGCGCAAAGTAACAGTATGGGTGCTAGAAGTTGGGGCCCTTACCTCGAGCATGGAGTACCTTTTTATAGCCGGGGGTCCGTCTCTTGGTTGGATTAGGGTTCCGGGATAATTGGGATAGAGCTCTCCGCCGAGGTTACCGGAGTAGAGTCCTACTCCTTGGTGGAGTTGTCTTCCCACCCTTATCCGTAGTCGGGCTTATCCACATGGCGTGTAGCTGACATGGCTGGAGGGATAAGGCAGGGGACCACGGTAGTAACATAGCTTGGCCAGGCTATGCCAACATGGCCGAGTTGAGTCGACGTGACTGAGCTGAAATGACGTGGCCGAGCTGAGGTGACATGGCTGGGCTATGCCGACGTGGCCAAGCTATGACTGGGCAACCACATGTCTCTCTAGGCCAACTCAGTCATGACCTCAACACATCTTATATAATATTAAAATTCTAATTTTTCCCCATTATGATGAGGAGTAGTGAGGTATATTAGTGTTGCTCTTTGTTCTCCTTAGGCTCAGTTTGGAAGGAGTATAAATACAAATATGCAGAGCACGAAACCTTATATTTTGTATTGTTTTGTATATATTTGCACTGTACATATTTGTATTTGTACCCCTTCCAAAATATAATACAATGCAAATACATACATAATATAAGGTTTTGCACTCTACATATTTGTATTTGTACTCCTTCTAAATTGAGATTAGGCTGAGTTTAGAAGGAGTACAAATACAAATATGTAAAGTGCAAAACCTTATATTTTGTATATATTTACACTATACATATTTGCATTTGTACTGCTTCCATACTGAACCTTAAGAAATAAAGAAAAAATAGTAGAGGTTAAAGACATACCTCTCTTCTAACTTTGGCCATGAGCAATAGCATCTTTTATATGAAATTGATAAAAGCAACAGTTATAAAAAAAACTAACTAATATAAACTAAGTCACTATGGAAGCGGATGTCATCTCAGTAATTGAGTTTCAATTAGGTGTTTGTGTCACTAACAAAGGAAATCTGATTGGAAACAAAGGATCAAGAAAGGTGTATAGGGCAAGGCTAAAATCCAGACAAATGGTAGTGTTGAAGAAGGAAGGTAACGGGAAACCGAAGATAGAGTGTATTGGTGAGAGGTGGAAATGTAGAGTCAAGGCCGACAACATTGTGAAATCATTGTTTAGAGGCACCAGAAACAACGAGAGCAATGGCCACAGAGTTTTGGTTTATAACTACATGGAGAAGTGGAGTTTGGAAGATGTTCTACATGTAAAAACAAGTAGGTGCAAATTGGGTTGGCTGAAGAGGTTTAAGGGTCTGTTTGGTTTGCAGTTAGAATTGGAATCAAAATCCTTTGGAATCGGAATCAATATGGTTTATTCCCATAATCTGCTTAGTTCAAACAGAAATGGGAATGAGAATTAAAATAAAAAAGAATGAAATTTCATTCCCAAGAGAGAGACAATGAATGACTATTCCCTCAGAGAAATATCATTCCAGCAATAATAGAAATGAAATTCTAATTCTACCCAACCAAACAATTGGAATTAAAGTATCCCATTTCGATTCCAATTTCAGATCCCTATTCCCGTGAGCCAAAGAAACCTAAAATAGTAGTTAGAGCAACAAGCATATCTACACCACGACTGTGTATCAAGTTCATTCTTCATCTTGCCGTTCATGAATTTCACCGACTTCTGACACTAGTGCATCGTTCTTTGAGCTACGTGCTTTGCATTGGACGGTGTGTATCATGTAGGTAGGTCCAATGGGCTAGTTGGCTGGGTGTGTGATGTAGGTAGGGCCCATAGATTAAGCATTGGATGGTGTGTATCATGTAGGTAGGTCCCATGGGCTACTGATTGCGAGTTGAGTCGTTCAATGTGTAAGTTGTTAATGGACAAGGCCAGGTTATATTGTGGGCCTATTGAGTTATGCGAGTTGTGTGTCGTATAGATTAAGCGTTTGGGCTGTTGCATTTTGTTGGGTGTTTTAGATTTTTAGGCTGCGTTTAGTTTGAATGAAAAAGTAAGGAAACTTTTACAAGTCTTGTATAAGTTTTCTTACCTTTTCCTACTTTTTCCTTCAAATAAAACATAACCTTAGTGAACATGTTAGTTGGTATTAGGCCATGTTGTAGTATAGTATTTGTTCTATATATATTCT